TCATGTTTTATTTCCTCATCAGTGCTAGAGTGGTTAGAGATTTCCTAAGTTGCTAACAGGTGTGGAGCCAGACTGCTCCCCTTGCGGACTGACAGACCTAGTCTGCCTCCAGGGCTTCGTAGAGCTGAGATCCAGTCTTGTGGTTCTGCGCACCTAGTTATTACAAAAGGAAACATTTCAGGGAAGGGACAGAAAACTGTTCCTATTTCTACATGTTATAGTACAGGGGTGAGGAACCTTCTTTGGGTTGGGGGCCATTGACCCACACAAGTGAGAAGCCAAAAGAACCCCAAAACCGTCACTGACATGGGCCCTGCGTGAGAAAGAGATAGATGCTCTCCACGTTCCCCTCACGCACCGCCAGAGTCTGTGGGGCCCAGGCCTAGTAGATTTTATGAGCTCTAGCCCCACAGGAGGACAGCAGTGGGGAGAGGGGGAGAGGTCCTGGAGAACCGCCAGCGCTTCCCATTCCTCAGGAGCCAGATCCAAGCAAGCCAGGGCAGAGCGTACGTTCCCCAACTCTTGTTATAGTTTCCATTTCAGACATAAAGGTTTAGAGCAGTGGTTCCCAAACTTTCCAGCATCACGCCCCCTTTTTGATTTTTTGAGACCTTCACACACACCACTCAAAAAAAAAAAAAAAAACAACCAGCAAAACTTGTTGAGCCAAAAAAAAAGGGGGGGGGAGGGGGATGGGGGACTGACTAGGGCCAAACAAACAAAATGCCCTTTTAAGAGCAGAACAGGCATTGCTCGTTTTTAAGGCGGCCATTTTGAAGTCTGCCCCCGCCAGCCTGAGCTGACAGATGGACCGGGCTCTTTCTTGGGGGAGGGTTGCCTCATGCCTCCCCCCCCCAGAATTTCTTCATGCCCCCCAGTTTGGGAATCCATGGTTTAGACTGATCACTTCCAAGAGTTCCAGGGCTTAAACAATTTCTTCTGTTTTCTGAACCTCTTTCCCATCAATCACTTCCCTCCTCCCGCCCTCTGTTTTCCAGTAGCTGATACCTGTTATGCCACTTTTAACATGTGACCTCTACACTCCTCCTCCAGTGTGTGGGTGTGGTGGGGGGAGTAATCAAATCTTTTCCTAAATAATAAGCAGTTAGTGTTGATTGTACAGGCAGCAGAGGATCCTTTAGTGCCAGTGTGTTCATTTGATCTTCCTTAGTTTTGCCATGTATATAATTCACCCGGTGAAGCCATGCTTATCTGCTCTTGGACGTATAGTCGCAGGTTGGCGTGTAGCACTTAACCCCTGAAATGAGAGCATCGCGGAAATGTACCTCTTCGTCGCCGCTTCTGGGACTTGCTTTAGATGTGGAAATTGTGTAATGTAATGATCTGAATCTCTGCCAAAGACGAGTGAATAAAATGTGAATGATCATGAGTCATTGTTGAAAACAGAACTGTAACGGGTATCTGGGATTACCGTCAGCTACTTCAGAGAGTTCTGGTTGGATGAACATAAATGGAAAAACCTGGGATGAGTCAGTTTGAAGATTCATCGCCTCTTATCTTTGCTGCGGGCTACTGAAAAACGTGTAGCTGCAAAGCTCATTCAAACCGGGATGGCTCCAGGAGGGAGCTGTCCTGTTGTTTGACATGGATAGGTACTAGATCTCAGCTAACCTGGGGTCAAGTCATAGGACTGTGATGGTCAAGGGCTGGAATTTGAGATCAAAGGGCCAGGCTTCAAAGAAAGCCCTGCCCGGGGTGCTTAAGGAAGAATAATAGAAACTTAGAACACTAGAGCTGGAAGGGACCTCAAGAGGTCTTCAAGTCCAGTCCCCGGCCCCCACGGCAGGACCAAGCACCACCTAGATGAAGGGTAGAAATAAAACCAGCACCAGCAGGAGGAAAGGAGCTGCCGGGGTTCGTGGTGTTCCTCCTGGTTGGTTATAGTAGAGCGGAGCTGGCAGTCCTTGACTACGGCAGTGAAGCATCCTCCCTGGGAACAGGGCTGGCAGGATCCGGGAAGGCTTCATTGCAGGATAAAGCTAAGCACGCCGTGCGTGTAACTGCTAAGATTTTATTTTCGCGGTTACCTGGGTACCTTTGTAAACCCTAGCCATCACGCTGTCCTTCAGGTTAGGGATGTAAAATCCTGGTTAATCCGTTAACTAGTTAATTCTTAGGTTGAACTGGTTAACTGATTAAATGGGATCCTGCTCCTCCAGTGTGGGGGAGAGTGGCAACATGAGCCAACAGCCCCGCTCTCACGGGCAGCGGTCAGCTTCTGCTCCCAGTCTCCCCCAGCATATAGGGGCTCCTGACCACAACTGCCGGACCCATCAGCTCTCCCACATGGGGGGTCTGGAGCAGCCCTCCACTTGTGGCCGGCCATGGGCGGGGGGTGTTCCTGGTTAACCGGTTACCTGTTTGCATCCCTGCTTCAGGTTGAACTACCAGGCAACGAGGCTGCAGCCAGGAAGCCAGCCGACTCCTGCCGACTCCTGCATTTCTACTTCTGTTCGTCGGTGTTCTTTCCCGCGCCGGCATAGACGCGTTTTTTTTTCTCTTTGGTGGCTGACCTGTAATCACCTTCTCCTTTTTCTTTTTAAAGGTAAACCCAAGCCCTCAGGGTGAGCGAGCGCTGCTGAAGATGATGTACTGTCCACATTGTCGAGGACTGATTACGGTGAAGCCGTGTTACAACTACTGCTTTAATGTCATGAGAGGCTGTTTAGCCAACCAAGGGGATCTGGACACCGAGTGGAATAACTTTATAGGTGAGACAGTGTGGAGTATAATTGTTCCTATGTCTCTGGCGCTGGGGTGCTGCCCTTTGTGCGTGTGGCAGAAGATGTTCCATGCTTCTTATCTACATAGAGCACTCATTTTATTAGAGACTAACATGGATCTTTTACCTCATTGCCCTCTGCATGCACTTATCTAAACCATTCTCCAGTTCACGTGATTTTCAGGATAAAAGTGACCTATGGCGTACAAGTACAGTTCAAACCTCTCTGGTCCGGCACTCTCTGCTCCGGCACCATCTGTGGTCCAGCATGATTTTAGTGAGTTGGATTGCACTTATCATGGGTATGGCCGAGTTTTCCTGCAGTTACATAAAGTTTGTTTCCAGCCACCAGGCCTGGCTCTCCGTGTTCTGTACTGTTATTTAGCTCGGATTCAGCGCTAAATATCTTCTAAGAGCCCAGTAAGCAGGGGAAGTGTTGGTAATGCTGCTAGACCCGTGGTTCCCAAACTTTTCGAGCATACTGACCCCCTTTTCAATCTATTAAAATTTCACAGACCCCTGTCCCTGGGGGAGGGGAAAAAGAAAAGTAAGGCTCCATCCTTATTGTTAAACTTTCCACGGACCCCCTGCAGTACCATCACGGACCACAGGTTGGGAACCACTGTGCTAGACAATATTGACCTTCAATAGTCCGGCAAATTTTATGGTTCAGTGCTGGTCTGGTCCTGAGGGTTCTGGACGAGAGAGGTTCAGCTTGTACTCACTTTGAAACAAAGCTTATTGTGCCTTTTGTGTCTCTTGAAGGTTATGGAAGGATTGCATCCCATTTAATAGTGGAAGGTAAAAAGAGGGAGTGCGTCTGGCAGACCAGGCAGGCGTGTTGCATCTGGTTAGCACTTCATCTCTGCACTGTCGCAATTCAACTCATCTCTATATGTTCTCCTCTTTACTTTCTGAGTGGGTAGCCAGAACTCAGCGTGGTAACCCAGAAGTGAAAACCAAGTGTCCGGTGGCCCAATGGCCCCTCAGTGAATCCTCCACTGAAGTAATGGGGGGGCTTCTGCGGTCGAAGTTTGAAACATCTTATGACTCGCTGCCCCAAGATACGTTCCTCTGAGACTGTGACTATTCACTGCTCTCACACATGGCTCTGCTGTTACCATCTTGCAGTTCTTTTATCCTTTTAACTTAAGAACAGCCAGGGTGGGTCAGACCAACGCTCTGGCTAGACCGTTGTCCTTCAGAGGGAAAGAACAGACCAGGGCTTAGGTTGAACAGCGTTGCCCCTCAGCTCCTTGACGGACCCTTAGATAAGTTCCCTTTGCCATTTATCTACCCCCGTTTTCATTTGAGTTATTTCCCTCAGTTATCTCCCCTTTTTACTTAAAAAAAAAAATCCTTTTATTTCGAACCTGACCCCAGTGCCCTTCGGGGTGACTCTGTTTGGCGCCAGCCCCCGACTACATGCCAAACTCCCCCGGATTTGGACGCTGCCTCACTTGCAGACTTTCGGGCCCTGTTTCTGACAGACATGCAGAGTGTTTGGGAGAAACGTACGTACCTCGGAAACGTGCACACGGCAAGAAACTCTCTGCTAGAGCCCCCAAAGCTAGAGACCGACAATTCCAGCTTCTCCTGAGGGAAAGATGACTCAAGCCGTCCTCCGACCCCAAGGCTAGGTCTCCGTCACGTCAAACGTCCCCTGCAGCACATTCTGACCATGGATTGCACCTACCCACTCCAGAAGCTCCTCCTGCTATCCAGCCTAGCAAAGCCAAGCAAGCTCAAAAAACCCAATCTCCGACCAGAAAATCAGCCCCGGCAGTGATGGCAGCAGGAACATCCGGTACGCAGAGGTCCCAGGAGGCAAAGGAATTGCCAGACCCTAGCTCCAGTGCATGAGCCAAGAAACTGTCCTTCAGCTCGGCACCATGAAAGCGGGGACTGACCGCTTCTGAAGTGGCGTTTCTTGCCGCATGCACACAGACGCAAATGAGTCCGGCACCGATGGTGTAAAGTCCCACACACATCCCAACACCGACCTTTATGGTGCTGCCACCGCCTCTCAGTACCGATGGCCTGCTGGCTCTGTTCCACCATTCTCCACCGACGATGACAATTCACACTCCACATCCCTCCTCCCCTAAGCCGCTTCACCAGTCAGCGTTGGTAGCAACACAATCGTAGCGATTGTTCCTACGGATCCCCTCCACGGTACCAATGCCTCCCGCATAGCCATACTGGCACCCCTGGGCATGTTAGAGAGGTCAAGACCACGACCCCTCCCACCACCCATCCTCCTCCACCATCTGCTCTCCCGCAGTCAGAACCACGGGACGACCTAGACCAGGGATGGACAGTAATTTTCGCAGGGAGCCACTTAATGAATTTTGGCTGGGCCTGATCTGCCCTGTAAGGGGCGGGGCCTGTGGTGGAAGGGGTGGGGCCTGTGGTGGAAGGGGCGGGGCTAGAGATTAGCCTCCCCTAGAGCTGTCCGGGGCTGGAGGCTTTTAATTAAAAAACCAGCAAAGGGCTCCTGGCCCCACTGCTACCACATTGCCTGGCAACTGCCTGGGATTTCTGCGGCTACTTGAAGCGCTTGTGGCTCTCCACATTCCCCTCACACACCAGCAGAATCTAGTGGGGCCCAGGCTAGTAGATTTTGTGAGCTCCGTGCCTGGGCAACGTTGCGACCAGGAGCCGTGAAGCATTGAAACGGGATTCTGCTGCTTGAGGCACCGCCTAGAAATTCGGTGGAACGGGCCGCAGGCTATAAATAGAAGGCAGCCAGATGCAGTCCACAGGCTGGATCAAAGTGTGAGGTGGGTAGGATCCAGCCCCGGGCCACATCTTGCCCAGCCTTGACCTAGACAAACGGAAGGATTCCCTGAAGGAGATGTCATGCTACCCATACACACGTCATCTTCCTACCTGCATGAGATATTAATGCCCACACCAAGTCATTCCAAGACCTCTTGACTGACGTCCCCATTTACCAATCAGGGCAGCTACGGCAGACCCCAGCCACGATTCTGCCTTCAAAATGGGCAGACGGAAAATACAATGTACTAGCCCGGGGGCAGAATTTCTTTTCACCCACCCAACTTCCTGGTGGTGGTGGCAGTACATCAGAGGGATAAGCAAACACAATTTAAATCCACTCCGTACAGTAAGGGTTGGAAAAGGGTGGACGAGATTCCTGCTCATCAACCTCACGTCGGTGTCGTAGGTACCAATTACACTGCATTCTTGGCAAAATGTACCTACAACTTGTCTGATAAAGTGAAGACCTTTCGCCAAAGGATATGCGCAAACGATACAGGACAAATATTGCGAAGACGGCGTTACAGGCATCTCCATGGATACAGCCGCCTGATCCCTCGCCATAGCTGTTGTCATGCACTGCACTTCCTAGCTTAATCTCTCTGGCTTCCCTAAAGAGGAACAAAACACAGTTGGGGACTTCCCTTTTCCAGGGACAGAAATTATCCACTGATCCACCAGGTACTTTAAAAAATCAGGCAGGACAACAGCCAAGTTCTACTAATAGCACCTATGTGGCCCAGACAAACTTGATTTCCCTATTTAACTCAATTAGCAATGGCTTCTCCACTACTTCTACCACAAATTCCTCATCCAGGATGCAAGGAAGCTCCTTTATCCACACATTAAAGTCCTCTAAGTAAAGGCATGGCTCCTCCAGGGTTAGCAGAACTTGAGTTACAATGCTCTGAGCAGGTCAAAAGATACTTATCAACAGTTGGAAAGCCAGTAAATGGCAAACAGAGGACCACAACTGATGTACAACCCAGTGACTCTCGCTTCACTTGGCTCCTCTGTCCAACCTGCTGGACTACATCTTGAGCTTCAAACAACAAGGGCTTGGTAACTGCTCTATCAGGGAGCATCTGGCAGCTATCTCCATGAGGCACGACGGAGTCTGGTGTATTTCCGTACCCAACCATTAAATGCTTCTTGAAAGGGCTAAACACCTTTCCACCACCAAAACAACCCACGTGTATGTGGAATCTTAACCTGGTGCTACCCACACTCACGGGCAAACCATCTGAGCCACTAGCAACGTGCTCCCTACTACACCTCTCCAAGAAAGTGTCCTTTATTGCCATCACTACGGCCAGCAGAGGAGGGGAATTAGATGCCCTCAAAGCAGACACCTCCTCACCCCCATACGATATTTCAGAAAGACCCAGTCATTTTACAACCCCACCCAAAATTCCTCCCAAAAGTTGTTTCATCCTTTCACATGAATCAACCCATTTACTTACCTATATTTACCTCACACAGAGCACAACCGGGCCTCTCCGCACACCCTCGATGCTTGGCAATCACTGGCATTGCACAGAGAACAAAGACGTTTAGGAAATCCCCACACCTCCTCCCGCGTACCAGAGGAGAAGCAAAATCCAAACCGAGACTCTCTGGGTGGATTTCACAAAGTATCCAATTATGCTGCGCGTGGAACTGCGTTCCGGCTCCCCAGACAATTCACACATACTCCCCTAGAGCCATTTCCACATCATGTTCCCATTGCAGACATTTGCAGCTTGGCTACCTGGCCCTCAGATCACGTTTGCTAAGCATGACACAATGGAACAGCATTCCTTAGCAGGAACATGGTTTGGATAGGCCATATTATCTGTGGCTCAAAAAGAGGTCACGAAACCCCACCTTCCACAGCAAGTTACTGCTCCATAGTCCCCAGACATAGAGCACCCACAAGGACACTCCTTGGAGAAGAGAGGGTTACTTGCCTGGTGCAGTAAATGAGGTTCTTCAAGATGGTTGTCCCTGTGGGTGCTCCACATCCCTCCCTCCTCCCCTCTGCTCCGCATCTACATATGGCTGTCTCAGATAGAGAAGGAAGAGAGGGATGGTTGACAGTGCACGACGGTTAACAGATCTCACACCGCCACTGCAGCTCCAAATTCTAACCCTCTCATCTCCTGCACGCATTCACACGTGTTACTTAGTTGTCTATATTAACAAGAGATGTGCACCCTATTTTCAGATGAAAATTTTGCTTGCACATTCTATGGAGGAAGCTAATTACCACTGAGTAACGCTGTTTGAAAATGCAGCCCAAAATCAGGCTTTCAAGAGATCCTCGAGAAGATTGACTTTCACATGTGCTCTCACGGGTGTGAAAGTATTTCTGCCTCCAGAGTAGCTGAAAATGGCTTAAGGAATGGAAGACTTTGTGAATGTCTTGTCCAAGCAGAAAAGAGAAATCCCATGAAAGGGAACGCATCGTGCTAGAAAGCAGACCAAAGAATATGCAGCTAATTGCTGCAGGTTGTATGCAACTGAAAATGAAACTTGGGGAGATCCAAGGAGCCTTCTACACAGTGGTATTCGGTAATTGCCTACAAAAAATTCAGATTATTAAACAAGGCAATGCAAGTAAACATTTCCCAGCTGGAAATGTGACTGTAACGGTCCCGGCCCCTACCTCAGAGAGTGGGGTCGTTATCTTTCACTGCTTAGTCTCTCGGGTGGTTCCCCGGTACCCGACCGGGGCGGAGGGGGACCTGGGTCTGCCCCCTCTCCAGGTCCCAGCCAAGGACCCTAAGGGAGTGCATCTGAGACGCGCTGCCCGACCGGGGGGGCTACGGCCGCAACGCACCGGTCCCCGGGGTTTCCTACCCCGTCCTGGGCTTCTTCCTCTGCCCTCTCAGCTCTGCAGGTCCTAGTCTGGTTCAGCGGGGTCTCGAGGGTGACTCACCCACTCCAGTCCCAGGACGCTCGATTGTCTGTCTTGGTCCGTGCAATGGTCCTGCCGCCCCGCCGCCGTCCGGCGTGAGTCTCTGCGCCCCGGCTCGCCGGGGCTCCGTCCTTTTTCCCCTCTCCTCTGCGTCCTGGCCGCCCGGCTTTTAAACCCGATGCCCCTGCTCAGGGACGCCGGCACCTACGCACTGGGGGAGGGGCTGGGCACGTGTGTGGGTGGCCCCTCCGGGCGAAGACTCCTGCACCTGCGCCGGCCGCCGTCTCTGGCCCGGCGCGTTAGAGACGCTCGGGC